AAGAATGAGTATTTCCTGTTTATTTTAGACAACAGATATAAATAAAACTATAAATACTTTCGATTATACCAAAAACCGACGATTGCATTGAAATTATAAGAATTCATGAATGTAGATTTTAAAATATGTATCCTACATTTATGTATAAATATTTGTGATATCAGAATAAATAATAAACACTTTCGATATTTTGATACATGATTTGCCGAGAAAATGTATCGTTGAATTAACTGTTCAGACCGTTCAAATAACGTGGATCGTCACCTCTGTATTCAACTAATCTAATTAATAACATTCAATAATAATCAATTAAATAATTAACAAAATTAAAAACAATGTATATAATTGCAGCACATATAATTAAAACATTAATATAAACAAATATTTTCATGTTTATAATAACCCCCCAAATTTGTCCCCAAACAAAAGTTCCAAAATCCCGCCTCTGGGGAGAAAAATAATATACATTTCCAATTTCTGGAGAAATTCCTTAAAAATATCTTTTTCAGTTTCATGTTTTCTTCATACCAAGTTGTTCACATTTAATGAATACCTCCAGAATTAGGTATCTTGAGAAGAGATTATCAAGATTATGTACAACTAAAAAGAGAGGGAAAAAAATGATTTTTACCCTAAAGTAAGCATCACTATTAAAAAAGAAATGTATTTATTATGACATACTATGTATTATTTACAAAATACAATACACACAAAAATAATAAAATGTAATAATTATGGCAATGAAAAAGTAACATGTATATAAAAATATTGTACAATAATAAAATGCCAATATATATATTTTCAAGCCCAAAATTTCATGCTTGAGATCAAGATGATTGGAATGATATACAGTTGTGGCATGCATGAGACAATTACAAAGGAAGTTTATTTCTAAGCTACATTCAGCACAAGAATGAAATTTCTACATGTCTGTGGGTGTGCACACTCACCACAGTTTTCTTTAAAACATGTGAAACATCAATTTTTTAAATAGATGCCTAAGCTTGTGGCACTGGGTGTCCCATACAACAAAATTTGAGGCACAAGTTCATAATTGTCAGAATATTCTAAAGCTAAATCAATTTGAGGCACTGGCTGATTACATTCTTGGCAAAAGCTAAGATGAAATTGAGTAGTTAAAGAAAAACACATCTAATTCTATACTAACACCTCCATTACTTTTCAAAATCATTTTAAACATCAATTGAAGTGCTTGAACCAATGACTAAATTTTCTCATAAATATATCTCACATTTCTTTGCACATATTTTCAGGCACCTTGATATTACACAATTTTTTTTAAAAAAAAGGACATTAGAGAATACCATAAATGCCATTTGGGAGTGAATGAATAAGCATACGATTCTAATATTTTGAACACAATCATTGAATTATTAAAATTACTTCAAAAAACAGCTGAAGGAAGAGGTTTAGGGAGCGAATGAATAAGAATATCATTCTGATATGGATTTTGATCACAATCATTGAATTATTAAAATACTTCAAAATACAACTGAAGAAAGAAGTTTTATATCAAATGTCTGATTTCAAGATCCATTCTGTTATAATAGGCATAAATAAAATTTACCAGTTACTGGATGAATCTCTTATACAGCCAATACAGCCACAATTTCCATTAAACCACAGATTACTCTCTCAATGCAACATATTGTTTTGAATTCACTCCTTTCTCAAAAAAGTAATCATCTTATTAATATACAACAGTGCTGGTGCTAGTCAATAGCAATTGAAATTATTGACACAAATGCTGCCCTTTGAATTAAAATTTAGACAAAAATACTCTTTCATCTTTTTAATAATTCAGATGATCAAGAATTTTCAATTCTCTGTAATGATATTAATTTGTTTATACAGGCCAATGTTAATTAGTAATAATTTTTCATTTCTAATTGAACTTCAAGATTTACCAGGAATTTGGTATCATGAACAAACTACCCAAATCTACTACATAACAAACTGAAAGGCTTGCAGGAAACAGTGATCAGAATTAGTTATCTCTTGAAGAACTTAAAAGCATTGCATGATATAATGTGATAAGAGTACATAAAGAAATACTCAATCACAAAAAATATTTTATTCTCTTGGTGTCCAATCTCATGGCTGTGGAGGACAATACAGCAGAATGCGAGAAATACTAACAGATGAAAGCTTAATACTGAAGAGATTCATGATGAATAAACTTTCTCTGGAAATGAAGTGAAAGCATACTTGTATTGTGTGATTAATACAAAAAAAATATGTTTGATTTTCATAAACTTAAAAATAAAAATAAATATAAAAATATACAATATCAGTGTTTGATATTAGAATCATCTCTCAAGGCAAAACAATATATGTGAATAATAATTAAATATATACGCAACTTCCAACCTCTGATCAATACCTTTACCTCACAAGTGTTTTAAATGAGACATTTTCATATCATGGAAATTACCGAATTATTAACATTATCCATGAGAATGTTGTCAGTTTAAATCTGCACAATATAACTTAATTATGAAAGCAAAAATGAAAAAGTAATTCTTCCAAAATTCTTTTTTATCTAGACCATAATAAGAATGAATAATAATTTACTGTCCAAGTCAAATTGCTATTGATTTATGAAAATAAATTTGTTTTAAATCAACTCAATGTTCTCTTTATTACATAACTGGTATGTGAAAAGAACTGATAACACATTTAAGAAAGTACACTCTTAAAATCTTCAATAATTATTTGCAACTTTGTCTTCCAGTCAATCAACAAAACTTCTCAGCAAATAAAATGTTCTAAGAATGTAGTTCAGTAACATTAGTATGATTATTTATCAAGCTCTTCAAAACAACTTCCTTTAAAAGTAATAAATTATTTTGTATTAAAATCACAATACTGTTGCTCTGCACCAGCTTTGCACAAAGTATAAAATCTTTATCACTAACCGACAGAGCTGCTACAAGCAAATTAAAGAACGAATTAGAATTAAATAAATCAAATTTTCTTAATAACCATTATAAAATGTCCTAAATGGATTTATAACATACAATGCTAGCTATGTCTTCACAAGAGTAAAGGATAAGGTTATTTTGTAGTGTTCTGTCACTTACACAAGCGCAATTCAGTTTGGTAGTGGTTTGTTTTATATAACATTAGCTTCACTTTCATTTAATTTCCAAAACATATCACCTTCCAACCCATCAAATTTAGCCTTGTCATTAAAGCGCACTATTCACAGATTTTTAGCCCTCAAGGCTGGTAACATTTCACAATTTGACATTACAGAAACAGAAATACCATAAGAAAGAATTTTTAATTTTTCTCATAACTGCCTCACTCAATATGGTATTTTCTTAAGGATATTACCAAACAATAAACAATTTTTTCTCAAATGTTCAAATTTCCAAACATAAATGAATCCAATTCAGTCCTTGTTAATGGCATTACATTAGCATCATTTGTTTGGAATCATTGTGCTAAGTAAGAGCTGAAATAATTTTAAAAACATGATAATGTGCGATTAGTGCAATTACAATACATTTATACGACAAAGTCAGCTTCTTTGCAAATTTGCTAGTGCTACTAGCAGCCAAGCACATACTATTTTTGATGAAGTCAATTTAATAGATTTAGACAAATAAATCTTTATTTACACTTCTCCAAATATTTTACAATTAAAATATTACACATTCAAAAACTCTAGATTCATATAATAAGCACAGTTTTATCACATTAATACCATTAGAATATCATGTTTTGACGGCATTCTGAGCAAGAGGTGAGCAATAATAATTGGTGTTTTTTAATATCGCTAATGCATTTTTCACTTAAATATTTTTCTGTAACAATGGACTCAAGTATGATATTTAAGATCTACTGCACTGTTAATATCAATTATTAATGAGACAGTAAGTAGAATATCATAACAAAGAACTCTAAAAAAAATTGTTATTCACAGATTATTTAAAAAGAAACATTTTCTTCCAAGATAATGTGCATTTGTCCAAATGGAAAATCCAGTCATTATAAATGTACAGAAAACAAAATCTATTAACTTATTTGAATTCTCTTTGCATTAATTCCGAGTCAAAATTGAAAGAATTTTAGAATACTTACACTACTTCATTCCAATCGGGAATCTTAATTCACAGCTATGGACACAATTTATCATGCTGATTTAGCAAAACACAAGAGCAACACATTATATGTACACAGATGCACATAATCAGACACACTGGCTTTTAACTGTGAATGCTATTATCATTGTGTGACTGCAGTTACGAAACAAAAGAAATAAGGCAATAATTTTATTGCTTAAAAGTTTGCGGTGGCTTTTCAATGTCAAATATAAAAACTTTACAAGAAACCTTTCAGTTAAGAGTCAATTTAGTATATAAATATATTTTTCATTCCAAATTTCTAAACCTTAAAAATCTACACAAAATCCAGTTTCAAAAGCATATTGTTTGAAAATGTAGAAATCTAGATGCTATAATACATGGAAAGGACAAATATACAAGGAATGTAAGTTGACAAATAAATAAGTGGATCATCTGTTCATATTGTCATCAAGAGGCAGAAGACAAATTAGGCATATAGCAGAAAAACACTCGGAACATTATAAGTGATGTTAATTTGCTTCCCAACTAACAGAAAGGCCAATCACGAACAGAAACTTCCACTTCAAAAGTTCCTTGTTTATGGTTTTTCCTTTAATAGTATTCATTCTGTAAATACTTTTTTGATATCAAACCTAGCAATTTGTGAATTTAAAACAGAAAGACCACAAATTTGGAGGGTAACAAACGCACAATATTATCAGTAGGTTTTAGGCAGCTAATTGCACTGTTACTGACAAATTGAGATTTTCATTGCTATGGTCATTATCTTTTTAATGCTATGAATTTGCACTACAGTAACATTTCAAAATACATCACAACACACTCAAGAATACAATATAGTAAGAATAATTTGAAAAACTTTTTCTTTTCTTTTTTTTTTTTTTTAATCAGCTAAGTCTTCGTTTCACAAGATAATTTTCTAGAAAAGAGTTTTCATGTGAGTCTATTGAAAATATTAATATAGACCCAAAGAAAATACTGATGAATCCTGCTTTAATTTTATGATTACATTTATTGCATAAAAGGCACTATATTTTTTTTTAAATTATGCAATTTGCACAATCTACTTTAAGAAAAATCATTATTTCTATATTCAGAAAGATGTTCATGCATAAACACATGACTAAACAAAAGACCTATAAAATTTTTTAATGACATCTTAAACAGCGAATGTTTGTTGACAATCCAGAAATTATGATGTTTTGAGGAATAAACTGAACAGAAGTCCTCTTGTACCTTTCTAGTCAACTTCATTCTTTGTATATGACAATTCCTTGCAAGAGATAATTTTAAGAATTAGTAATACTGAATCAGTTTTGCAAAAAAGTTATCTATTATTTCTCCTCACCATTCTTTTTCCTGGAAGAATGTTAGTCAAGTGGTTTAATTTATGGCTTATTTGGCACTTCAAATATTTATTAGGCACTCATAATGTAAAAAAATATTTTTCAAACTGAATAAAGGTTTCAGGTAAAGTTTGAATGTAACATCTTACTATTCACTTAGTCAATTCTTCAAGTGTGAACAATAATCTCATAATTAACACCAAAAATAAATAACTGCAGTTCGTCTGAGTGACAGAATTATTTTTCAATATCCACTGATAAAACATCCACAATAGTATGTCCATTATGTTTACACTACATTACTCTAAATACAAATATTTATATGATGAAATTAATATGCATTAACTATCACACAGAACATAGAACTTTAAAATTATTTTCATTTTGCTAAACGAACAAACAAACACACTGTTTGAAGAGATGAAATATTACTAATGGCACTTTCAAGAACCACAACAAAAAATGAACCAAATATACATAATACTGTAGTATCAAAATCACTCACATCAACACGTAGGTAACACACATTCCTATAAATACATCACATTTGACAACACAACATAATATCCATTCATACTATACTCTGTGAATCTTATGTTGCCTGAAACTGCTTACAAGATGAATATGATATGTAAAATAATAAAGGTGTAAAATATTTAAATGAGTATTCATTGGCTATAAATATAGATACAATGGCTTCATGTATCACAAAGAGTCATATAAAATAAGAACTTTTTGGTAGTACCTTAGAAGCAGGATACAATAAATTGTCAGAGAAAGAAAGGCTCAACAATTGACATTATAGTAAAAAGTAATAGTTGATTTTAAAACCTTAACAAAGGCTACTAAAATAAATATTTTGTTATTCTAAAATTTACTATGAGGTTACAAATCAAGAAAAACCTCACCAGCAGATAAAACATGTATTGATAAAGACCAGATAAAATAAGAAATATAAAAATAAGATGATGAGAAAAAATTTTCAAGAACAAAAGTTCCTTGGCGAAAACAGGGTTGCAACACATGGCTTATGCTTTTTCAAAGAAATTTTGAAGAACTAAACAAAATTTTCAGACAAACAAATTTTAATTTATGTTTGATTTGTGAACACCATTTTTTTCTCAAAATGTATTCCCGAAATGTTTGTATTTAATGAAAGTTCAATGTATATGTTTATTTCCAATTATGTTGCTATTTTTCATAAGTGTATATCTCAGTCTTTTTCCCTTTCCCCTCCACAAACATTAAAAAATAATTTTGATAAAATCAGGCTTTCTAGAGTTAATTTGAATCAACTGAACAAAATCTTACCTACAAGTATAAATATACGTTATTGAAAAATGTTTACCAAAACAGAACTTTAGTGAAAAATTCAAAGTTGAATGTATAGCAATACATTACTAGCTAATTGACTAAATAAATTTCTAGATCTTTCTTCCACAGGAACAATAAATTGCCTCCTGCTTAAAAGTTGGGGAAAAAAAAACACACGCACACTTCTATCCAAAATACACAGAAACAAGTTCAGTGACCTATAAGGAAACTAATCCATCATGTTTATGAAACATCCTTGACAGCATGTAAGACACATAACTGAGCTAGTCTTTTCTTTAGACAAATTTCTCTACATTGAAACACTGAAGCCTTATATTACAATGTACAATATAGTTAAAATTTAAATATAACATACCCACCTACTTGTGGTTTTCTTAAGTAGTTATCTCAGTTTTTTGAATATATTTCCAAATTAGTCATAAGTGCAAAACTATTTTGTGGTGTCTTACTATTCATATGATACATATGTTCAGACCGAACAGTGATATGTAATCAGTTTCTTCCTTCATAAAGCTGTTAACTGTTATTACCAGCCCCAGTAAGTTCTAATGTTAGTATTATCAGAGATCTACAAACTCAACACACACAGAGCAAAATTGCTCTAAACCCTAGTGAAGGGGATTTGTTTGGGATATTCAGTGATAACTCAAGTAATTTGATTTCTCCTCAGAAAAATGTGTCTTATATGCTATCAAAGCAGTAACAGAATTGAGAGAAAATGAACAAATCTTTAGAGAAAATATTGTTTTAAATACAGACAGTATATTCTTCAAACTAAAATATCACATTTTTCTGTCAGTACTAAAAATACATAGTAGAATTAATAATGAAACGTTTAATTAAAATTGCAGAAATAAATAAATATATATGAACTGAATGTTCTCATATCTTATTAATCTGTTAATTTCATCTTAAATACATAGCTAATTGAATCAAGTTGTTGAAGTACACAGCCATTCACAATTAAGTCTACTTTTTTATAAAATTCACAATAAAATAAAGATCAAATGGAATGTTATGCTAAGAGTGAAAGTAAATGTTTCACATTATCGATTGCACAAAAGACTTGGTCACATAGAAATCATATACATTACATTTCCTATCACTAAGTGGAATGCTATTAACATGCATGATGCTAAAATTCTGCAATCATGTAAAATTTGTACTACTAATCAATACAGACAGTTTTCCTGAGACACACATCACTCTCTCATTCCCAATAACAAAAATTGTTGCACAAAAATAAATACTAAACACTGTAAAAATCCACTTGAAGGAAAGTCAGTGGTTTGGAATGCCATCTTCACTTGATTATCCCTACACACCTACCTCCAAGTTTCATTTAGAGCGTAGATTTAACATTCATAAATTATACAGGTGTCTCGTTCATATCTTTCCTGAAATGAATACAATTCACAACAATCATACAACTACATTATTCATGCAGCAATAAAGGAAATAATAGATTAACATAATTATTTCAGTACACATTCTCAAGACAAAACAAATACCTTTATAGTGAACTTAGTGACACTAATACATAATATATTATCCACTTGTCTGAGTGACAATTCTAAAGAATATAATAATACTAATACTTAATATATTATTCACTTGTCTGTGGGACAATTCCAAAGAATATCGTAATTACTACCCTTACTCTCTAACTTTACCCAGAAGCATTTGGCAATGAAAAAGGTATTATTAACGCCCCATAAGAAATTTTCAACACTTTAATCTATTTATTACAACCACGAGGTATTCCTTTATCCACGCATCTTAATCTCATTAGTGGTCAAATTTAATTTTTTTCTCTCCAAAAATCCTAAATCTTATACAATACCACACAATACTGATGCAAGCAAAAAAAATAGTTCAAAGAATTCCAGTCAAATAACATGAAACAATTTTATTTTGTATTAGTATCCACAAATCATCTCACAATGGATTTCAAGATACCTAGGCTTTGTGGATATAAATGCATATTTATCCATATTTTTCCACTTTAATAAACTCAGAGAGAGCTTGCAAACACTAATGAGATCCACACTGCAATAATATATTAGGCTATTTGAGAATAATTAAAATATTCAACCCTAAACCTTTGCAACTTTTTGGCTATCATGGAGCACAGCAAGATCATTTTGCACAACCCAATTGGGTTTATTTGCATTAGATGGGTTAATAATTGGATCTGCAATACTTTCCATCCACTGTAGATCTTAGAAATGATTCTTATAACTTGTGTACATACTTTCAAAATCATAGCAAATAAAAATTACATTCAAATGATCGCTTTTCTTACATTCAAGTTTTCAATTTTTATAATAAAATCTCTATTGTGAACTATGATTAGAATGCTAATTTTACTTCTAATCAATGGTAAAATTAACCTCTATCCTTGCTATTCCCTTCAAATAAATAAATAAAAGCTTTCTAAATTAGAGAAACTTTTGTGACAATAATAGTCATGGAATTAGTACAGAGGGCTTTTCATTTATCACAATCAATCATTTTTACCCTCTCCACTCCAGGTAACATTTTGGGATTGCAAACCTTTTAATGTTTTTTCTCTCAAAAGGGCTCATGCAAAATTTAAGTGCAATCACCCTAGCAACTCAAACATTTTCATGGAATTAACACACCCATTTTATTAATGTGAACAGCAATAGGATATAAAGTCAATATTATGTTAATATGTTTCATTATATGCATCCAGAGGTGGTGAAATTAATTCAGGCTGTCAGGGCAACAGATAAATAAATAAGCCTTGGGAAGAACGAACATTCACAGTGTAATGACATATCAGAAGAAGGACGCAAAGCCCCTTGTAATAAAAGAAAGATATGTGAAGGAGACGTAATAAGGTATGGAAAAACGGGTTTGGTCTCCTTTACTACTGACCACCGAGCCACCAACATCGAATTTGGTACACTGTGATTTTCACTATATGGGATGTGTGGTGGGAGATAATTCAATTTTTAGTTAAGATGCAACATCAAACATTGAGGGGAGAGGACTTGCATGAAAATATAATTGTTATTTTTGGAATTGTAATAGTAAGAAATTGAATAATGGTAATGTCATGTAATTGTCAGCTGAGCACTATTAGAATAGGGAAAAATCATAGACTTTTGGTCCCTTGAAAAATTATTTGAATATTAGGAAGAGTCATGACGAGGTGCCCACTCGAGGTGAAGTTCAGGGAAGTTTAGCATACACGTAACATCTTTAATAATTATTCGATGAAGTGGGAATAGATTGATAAAAATGCAGTTGATTTTTTTTTATTAATTGATGTTGGGTAAAATCATGTTAGTTGATCTGGATAGCTGAGATCGCTAAGGCAGTAGTGTCGTGGTGATCTCGGCTCTAAGGATCACGAGTTTGAATCCTGCCTTGGGCATAGATATATTTGTGATCATCCCTTCACCCTTCATTATCATCCTATCACTTCATTAAAGAAGGATTAATAATTCCCTGCATGAGCAGGAGGCCCTTGCTCTTAATAGTGCTCTTAAATGTGCAATTGGTTAAAAATAAAAAATAAATTTAAAAATATATTTTTTTTTAAATTTATGTTAAGCAGGGCGAAAGAATATACATCAACATGGCAACTGAAGAGAGAAGACTTGGTGAACATTGAACATTCTTCATTCGGAATTCAGTCAAGCGCGTCACATGCGCATAAAGATGTTAAGTAAGCCATGAGCTGATTTTAGAGGAAGGATAATTCTCGAAAAAATAGCCATGTAATAAGCTCATTAAACATTGTTAATGTTTGAATTACAAATAAATATTTTATTTATTATTTGAAAACAAGGCTGATAATTTGTAGTTAATTGTTGTCAACCAAGAATCATTTAAACAAACAGAACTTCCAGAAATCACTAATTTCTACAGTCAGTTCATTTGCATGCAACAAGGGAAAGTATAGTACATCGTATGTTGATACCCATGAGTAAGAAAATATTAAAAGTAACGTTAATAAAATCTTTGATTATAAAATAAGGACATTAACAGAGGAAGGCAACAGAATTATATAAATATTAATATTGATAGCAAAGGTTTCAATTATATGGAAAGATTAAACTAATTAAATTAATGAATATTAGTTGGAATGATAAATTCATTTCAATAGCTGCCAAATGTGGGTAGATTGAATAGCAAATATTTATAGAAGTTATCACTTTCAAGTTATAAGTTTTATTACAAATTATTGCCCAGCATGGAGCCGATTAAGTTACAAATAATTTTTCAACATTCGTTACAATATCCATTTGTATATATTAAGATGAATAAGAAGTCAATGTTTGAAGTCAGCCACTTACCTCACTATTTCCCATGATAAGCAAGAAATAAAAAAACGTTTGACATAACATAGTTTACAAAGGAAATAAATTACACGATCATTCATATAATGTAATAGTAATTATAAAAAAGCGGTAATTACTTACTCTGATTCAGAAATATTAGAATTTGTCAAAGGAGGTGTAAGAGCACGTCCACCTGCCACCATAAGAGGAGATGGTGTCGCACGAACAGCAGCCATATCACTAGATGCCAGCACACGCCCTGACATGGGAAGAATGTACCTTTCACCACCACAATGATCTTCCTCCGCTGATACGATAAAACAAATTATATGACCCAAATTGTTTTACATGCATTCACAAACTTATTTGGATATAATAAATATATGACAATTTGCAAACCTGTATATGGAAAGAGATATTTATCAGAGAGATGAAGTTTCTCTTCTGTTTCAGAACCAGGATCTCCCATGTCATGGAAATTTTCCTGGGAGGCAACTAACTTGTGCAAGCCTGATGCTCCATTGTTCCGCCCAGAGGCAGAAGTGGCTCCATTGGGAGGTGGTAAAGGATTGGGAGATGACATCTCGTTGTCTGAAGCAGTTCCTGACCACTGACTGCCTCTTAAACCTGACTCCATCACTAGGGAAAAGGATCACAAGAGATACTATTAACAATTTTAACAAATTTCATACACGCATGCATGGCTCCCCAGCAATGCAGATTCTGATTAGTATTCTCTGAATTTGCAGTATAGCTGGTGTATAAGACCGCCCTATTTTTAAATATAATTTTGGGAGAAAATACTAAATTACACTTCAGGAAAATAATTTTACTAAAATAATAAAATACTTGTTTCCACATTTCACAATCATATTCAGTAGAAAGTAGATATTCAAATACAAAACAAAGTTGTAAAAAGCTTTGTGTATATTACACACATCATGATCAATCATACATTGTTAATTATCCACTGCTTTTATTTTCAGAACAAGAAACTACTTCTTCACATCTGGCCCTTAAGGTGCACCTCTTCTACAGATAAATGTTTCGGGAAAAGTCTTTATAATAATTAACGACTAAATGTAGCCTACTGCGTGTTTGATGATATTATTTATAGGTCATTCCCTCAATTAATTAAAGACAATCAAACATTATTTTTACATCTCGGAGTTTTTTTAATACAAACATTTTGTTAGACACAAAATAAAATGTTTTATGTGTATGCTCTTCAAGTTCACAGATGTCTAGAAATAAAAATAGACAAAAATTTTTTAAAAGATTACAATAATAAGAATCCTCAATTGGTTACAAAATTCATGATTTTTCAAAATTTATTTGTAAGTACAAGGCACAAAAAAAAGTAAGAGCTTACAATGAAGTAACAATGAAAAGTAAGAGTCAATGAAATAAATAAAAAATAAAAAAACTTTAAAAAACAAACTGGGAAACATTTAAAATTGTTTAATATTTAACAATTTTAAATGTTTATAAAAACATGTATTAGAAAAATCTGCATGTTAAACACTGTCAAAAAATACAGTAATTTAAACATAAATTCCAAATTTTACTGTGTTCATTTATTATAATTGTACACTAAGATAGACATAACACTAAGATGGACATAAATTTTACTTAGAAAGCAAGGGGAAAAAATTGATATTAAACTACATAATAGAGAATGACAAATTAGCAAATAAAATTTAAGACAAGCATATTTGTGTAATTTTGATCCAGCTCACTAGTTAGCAGAAAGTAAGATGAATCTTAACTGTATCCAAGAGCAAAAATAGTATGCAGACAGTGACTACATTAAAAATGCACCTGCTAAAGTATCTTAACTGGAAAGATTTATATAAGAGAAGATCAATAGGAAAAGTTTAAAATTCTGAGAAACAGGGAATTGGAAAACATGGTACAACAAAAGAAACTTTATTAGTTGCAACCAAACAAAGCTAAAGATTTAAATAAGTGAAGAAAAAATTGCTAAAAAGTGGATTGAGCAGCTGAAAGTGAATAGAAATTGTAAAGTCTCAAATAATTTTCATATAAAAACATAGAAAGTTTTCAAATTTCTTATTTCAGCTTCAACATCAATTACACTGATACATTTTAATACACTCTAAGCAAATGATATTTTACTTACTGCCGGATGGAAGGTAGGCTTCTGGGAGTTGACTTGACCATCGAGGTGCATATACAGGCTTCAGATTAGGAAACAGCTGACTGTTGTTGATAATATTTAACGCTGGGGGAGGTTGCACCCCACTTCCACTGTGAGGAGAACCATTATGTGGATCTTCACAAATATTGGGAAGATATGATGGAGTTTCTCCTAAGGTTGAGACACCTAATTAAAAAAACACTCCCTGAAATACCTTGAAAACAAAAATGGCTTTTTGGCAATGATTTTTTTCAACCCAAAAAAAGAATTTTGATATTGACCTTTGGCATCACACCAAATTTTGATAGTTTAATTTTGTACTAATTTTTCATCAATAAACATTTCAGAAAAAGGATTCTATTTGCATTCGTAGGTTTCCACAACAAATTCCTATTTACCTCCCCTGATTTTCAATGGGACGCCTGAGAAATTCTTGAATTTTGATCTAATTCATACTATCGAGTCAAAAGAAAATCACAAATTAGCTAAGTTAACTAAAAATTATCTTAAGAATGTTAAAACATTTGTCTGAGCTATCACATTTTCTTGTAACAAAACCATTATTGTATTTCTCAATACAATCTTTATCTTCACATATATCACTGTTTGTTCGTTTCTTTCTTTCTGTTCTTCCTTCCTAGATCACCCTTAGACTTTTTAATTGCCTGGCAAATCAGTGATTGATGACAAAAAAAATCCAAGAATATATTTAGGAATTATAGATGCACACAATATTTACCAATTTTACAGCTTATAGTTATGTTAGCATTAGTTTCTTAACATGGAAAGTCAGAGTAAAAAAAATTCCAACAGAGTGGACCTAATCTGTGAACATAAGATGACCCATGACCCTCTAATTTTCAAATGAGATATTTAAGAAAAATCTCCATATCATATTGAGGTAAATACTGTAATTTAAGTAATTACACAAGTTAGAAGACAAACTTTCAAGATAAGACTTTCAAGGTACCAATTACAAAATTGAGTACATACGGAGTTATTTTATATTGAGTTATACAAAATTGAGTCATTTTTCATGTGTAAAAACTCTCTTATCTTTAATATTTAAATTCCTTATTAATTCCTCTAACATTGCTTAGTTCACATATGTAGAGAGATAATAGAAAAAAAGTTTCTGGCATCACAAGCTGTTGGGTTTAAAACCAGCAGTTCATGAGGCAAATTAAAATATAAATTTTACTGTTTCTACATTTGAGCAATCACTTCAGGTGCAAAATTGCAATTGATCTTTCCTTCCAATTTCAGAATAAATATAACAATTCATCAAAATAATTATTATCAGCAGTCAGGTTGTATAACAGAGGAATTGAAAAGTTAAAAGAAGGGAAGACAAAACTGAGTCAAAATTAAAGGTGGGTAGGTTAATATAAATACAATGTCCACGTAAAAAAACTTATTTGTGAATAAATTTGTTGTAGACTAAATAATGTATCTTTCTTCCTTAATGGTATGTCAAATCAAACTGAAAAGATTTATTTCCGCTTAACTTTTTGAAGCTTACCAACATCTCTGTGGCGATGTCGGCTGGATGATTCTTCATCATCACTGCTGTGGCTTGATGCCAGCTCTAAACTTCTTCCATCCACTGAAACTTCAGACTCAGTATCTGATTCTTCTCTATGGCACTCCCTCTCATGAGCAGGGCTTTCTTCTGATTCTAAAACAGCAAATTAAGTCTGATAATTTCTAATGATAACCTCTCTCTTATTTCTTAAAATATCTGTAAATGTGTGCAATAATATCTAGCATTTTTAACTTATTGAAAGCAAAAAGGCTTTCTAGGTTCAAATGCAGTCACCTTCAGAACAAATAGTGACTGTCACAGGTAACTCACAGCCTGTTTTATATCACCTATTACAGTTAAGCAATGGTGCCTCATGCTTAGGTTGCTTTGATTGCAAGTCCTCCAAAAAACAGAAAAATTCATATATGTTCAGAATATATACTTTCCATTTAATGTTAATTTGATATATTGCAGCAATAACAATGCACATGAAATCATTTTGAAGTCAAAGTGCACCTGTCGATTGCCCTCTCTGGCGTTTTGTGTACTCCCAGGCACTGCACCAATGTCATGCTCTTTTACTGTGATTACTCTTTGACCTTGTGAGCCTATGGTTCAACATCAGATGCCATACACTTTCATCCTGCATCTTGTGTAAATAGAGCCAGTGACCTACACCGCAGAGCGATGGCTGGCCAACATTGGACTCTGAGGGGAATACCAATTTTCTGCCTTTATCAGAAACAAGCTGTAAGCAATTCCATGAATTTCGCATGTTATTGAAAGTAAACAAGTACAGTTAATTCTTGACAGTATTGAAAGCATTATTTATGTTTGGGGTATTTTATTTTTAATTGATGTTAGGTTTGTTGATTCAAAATGTTCAATTGATAAGTTCTTGGTTTAAAGATAGCCGTTTTGGGAGTCACTCTTTCTGCCCCACTTCTCTTACATGGCAAGTGCAATGTTCTTCTAGGCAGTCATTTTCCAAGTATGGTTGGTATATCAGTGAGTGTGGAAGATCTCAAGAGAGTTATTGTATAAGTGTTGTTATTGCAGCTGACTAATCATTTTTCTCAAGGAAGTAAGATTCTCCACCAATTTAAGAGAGAATACATCCCTAAAAGGTTACATGTATTTCATTTTTGCAATATATACACGGTAGCAAAATTTTCTAAATAAAATAATTTTATTTTTTTATCATCACTACCTGTAGCAGTAATACCAATAAAGAACATGAAATTTTTTTCAGTATGAATTATGTAGATGTGTGGTGTTTCTTCTCTCTCCTCTCCTCAACGCAGAACTAATACACTTATTAAACTTAAGTTTTAATTAATTTACATAAATTGCTATGTTTAGTAATATGACCTCATTAGCCTTACTTAGCTCAATTAAAAAATATGTTGAAGAAGTGATACCTTCTCTGTGCCTGTGCAAGCTGGAGTCATACCCACGCCCATATGATGGCATATCACTATTTGAGTTGTAGTTGCTAGTGCTTGTAGAGGTGTGTCTTAGTTGTGTGTCACTCCTGAAAAAGAATATTGATATTTAATGATGATAACTTACCAAGGGAGCAATATGGACATAGATTGAGGAAAGACTAACATGATACCATATCATTTCATCTTCAAAAATAAAAAAATTTAGATAAAAAAAAAAAAAAAAAAAAAAATCATATACTGATTGAAATGTATGATTCACATGAGAGTACCAATTTATTGGCAGTTAGAAATTAGCAAAATGTACATGTAAATTTTGTATATTAATCGTAGTTCTATTATCATTCTTTGATCAGCATTTCTTTTTTTTTTTTCATTTCTAACTGAGGAAAAGGAATTTATTGTAATCAAAAAGAAAAATATATTCTTATGTATAATATGTTCCTATTTTTTCAGAAGTATATAAGAAAAAAAATTTGAAATGTAAAATAAAAATTCATGAGAGTTTCAAATCGCTCCATTTAATTAGCTTCAAATTTTCAAACACAAAACATTGCTGATCAGGCCTTAAAATGCATTTGGAGCAGTTGAATGATGGTGAAGTAATCCTCCATCTTTCTAGAAGTAATTGAATACTACATTTCATCACATAATATGAATTTTGTGCACATTACAAAATACATATATTTTATACAATGTTATTTATGAGGTGTTGGTACTCAAGAGAACATGTAGCCAGTAAGGGGAAGAATCCCTAAATTCATCGCAGTAATTGTTGAAGTCGTCATTGCCAAAGTTGAATTTGATTTATTGAAAACATGTACACCATATTCACATATCACATTCCAAGGAATAATCATGAAGCTCAGACAAGATATCATTAATATGTTTTTGAATTCTGGATCCCCGGCAAGATGGGTGTATATTTCTCAGTGTAACAAATCTTAGACAAATTTTGTTCGAGTTACACGTGGGCTTTATGAAATATCAGCAAACGTGGTTATGAAATATCAACAAACGTGTTTAGTTCTACTTCACAAATATCCACTTATCCTTGTTTCTGAGTTAACAGTCTCTGATATGCAAGGTCGAGGTTTGACAATTCATGGCAAAGATGTGCAGGTTGTAGCTCAGAAGTACATTGCTTTTAACAGAAATACAATTTCAGGAACATATAGTGGCAAACTCATATCTGAGACATTGTTTCAACATGTGAACATATTATTATGTAACTACATTAATTTGTATAGTTGTAAATGAAATATGAAAGAACATGTAAGTAGATCAAATTATGTAAAATAAACATGGTGACAATTCTTTCACAATGTCTTGCAAACTAAAAAAAATATTTACTGAATGTATCCTGCACTTTAAAAATATATATGTACATGAAATTCCATTCCCTAATTATGATGCTTCTAAAATGTTGTTTCTGATGATATAACTGAGTTAATTATCATTTTCTTTTCAATATAGAGCATTAACTATGACAAGTAATTTATTGAATCAAAAGGCAAACAGCATAAGGAAACATCCAATGTAAGAAGCAGTATTTGATAGCCAGAATTCAACTGAGAAAGCGAGAAGCAACTTAACATTAGGCCTCTTTGAATATCCTGGTAAGATTGATTTGTTGTTCTTTCCAAAAGAATAAAAATAATACGGTCCACGCTTTTTTTCATTTATAACATGATAATTAAATAGATGAAGTTTGTCTTTAATATTATATTTTTTCTATTATATTCTCATAAAATATTAATATCTTGAAACAACTCACCTATAAGGACTACTACTGGTTTTTGTGGTAGAACGTGATGTAGTACTTGATGTAGAAATACCAACATGTCTTCTAGCTCCATCAAAACCACCACTGTGATACGCCAATGCTGATCTCTGTAGAACGCACTAAATGACATACCCATTAAAAATTTAACCATAAATCAAAACACTTTAAAAATAAAAAAATAAAAACTTACAGATGCCACTTGAGTGCTAACACCAGGACTACTCGTCACTTCAGAGTTTTCTAGAGGAACCTTGCGGCCCATACAACGAAGAATGGTGATTGAAAGATTGCGACGTACACGAGCGTTAAGGAAACAATACCCAACAAGAGCAAACAGTGCATGAACAAACACAGATGCACTCAGCAAGTATGTAAGTAAAGGCACATTTTCATTTACAGTGAGCATAGCCAGTACCCAAGCCATGCCCAAAAGAGGTAAGGACACAACTGACAGCCACAGCAAAGTCCTATAATAAAACATCATGTAAGGTAAAATCAAATGAGTAAAATATCAAAAAATAAATGTTTATTATCAACAAATCCTTACCTCAGATTTCCAAAGCCCATTACATGATCTTTGAGTGTAAAAGCAGCCCTTATGGAAAACACAAGAACTGAGAGATTCAATAATACAGTGACGCTTATAGGTCCCACTAAACTCCACACCACAGATTCATATATTGATAACCAGCAGCTGCACATCAAAACAATTATAAAATAATTAAGTGAACAAAGTACACACAATCCTCAAACAAAGGCCAAGTTCATTCAATTTACTTACAAGTAATAATTGCCATACTGATCAGCCCGAACTCCTACAGCTAAACCAACTACAACAGCTGGAAGACCATATCCAATTGTGTAATAAAATCGCATCTGCCCATGGTTGATATCACGCATTTCAGTCAACATACGATACAAATGAATACTATCAACCAATGTCCAACAAAATGCAGTGAGCCATAAGTAATGAAGAGCCATTGCAATCAATTTGCAGGGAAACTAAAAGAAAAACAAAAAGAAAGTTGAGAATAAACTTGCAGTACTTACAGATCAAATTTTCATTTTGTTCCCCTCTTTCTTTCTCTTTTCTCAATGTTCTTGAGAATCAATTTACATTAAAGGAATTAGCTGTAGTCTCACAAAGGTAAAATAGCTTATTGGTGACAAACAACAGACAAAGGGATAAGAAAACATGAAGATAAGTGATGTAAAATTGCAATTAGTAAATCATGAAGAAAAATGTATTAAGCAGATAAGACAATTTTCATGTCTTTCTTCTTTCAAATATTTTATGAAAATTCAATTTTTTTTTTCAGAGATAATATGCAGCTTAAGGGAAAGCTGAAAATATGCTTATTTGAAACCTATTTGAAATGTTGTTTCCACACAAGTGAAGAGCACATCTACAAAGAATAAACATCGCAACATGATCCGTTATAAAATACAACTCACAAATAAACTACATATAATTTTTTTTTCACCCACTCATAAAATATTATTCGTATTATACTCCCTATATGCCATTAGAGCTTCTTCAAAAAATTTCTTGGAAATATGCTGCACTGAAATTGGGTGACGATTATAGTCTACAACTCAATAATTAAACATTTTCATGATTTTACATTATAACCAGTTTCAATGCAAGTTTGTTCATCAACACTATTCTGCCTTTTCATCCAATAAGACAAAAATTAATTTACCTCTTGCTGAACAAGGGTGCGACGCAGTTTCAAAGCTACAAAGAACACAAGTTCTGCAAGGAAAATGCACAATACAAGATTCTTATGGATGGAATTGGAGTTTGTAGCAACTCCACGAAGTGCTGCCAAAATGAGTAATGCAGCCAATAATAAAGGAAGTGCCAAACAGAAACCTGTCCAAGTTAATATATCTTCTAAGAACGTTGGCTCTGGAATATACTGAAACAAAATAAAAATACAAAAATATGGTGAAACCAAAAAAAAAAATGATGTAAGTACAAAACTGCTCACATAAATGACTATCTAAATAAGTTGCACTGCTAATCAACATATTGATTTAATATGCAGATTTCTCACCTCTAAATCAATAACATCAATAAGAACTGCAAACGTGGACAAATGGTAACAGGTGCAGTTAATAAGAAAAGGTTTTGTTACAGAAACATGCCACTCAGTGGGCACTTCTGTTTGACAGCCAGATCGAGACCATTCTCCAATCCCACGAGCATGACTCCAATATACACACTGAGGGTTCGAACGAGGAGACAAAGCCTGGATGCTTGTGTCCAACCAGAGCCTCAGGAGAATGGGTACAGGTAAGGTACCTTCGTCAGCCAACAGTTCATATGTTTGTGGAGCCGCTGCAAATAATCATAAGCACTTAATACTAATTCTTGTTTCTGAATGTAAAAGTAAAATAAAATTAGCATACCAACAACTATGGGAACATTTGTTAATAACAATATTTTGACTCATGTTAAATGTCTAATGTGAAGGTCTGATTAAGATAAGAATGTGATTGACACACACATTGAGAGAAAATTTCTTGAAAATTAAGAATCTCTAATGAATCAGAGGACATAAAACGATTCAAGAAATTTCACACACCTTTTACTTTTTTATTGTAATTGTGTGATGTAAAAATACAAATTAGAGATAAAGAATAGGTCACACTAAACACCTCACAGAATGGAATTGCCAAAACATTATTTGTTAAATGCTGATCGAGGTCCATTGAAAGAATTTAAAATGTTTGAGAGGCAAAGTCTTCCCTGCCTAGTAATTTAATCTCTATTTTGAATGTCCTGGAATTTCTTGCCTTAGGTAGCATTTTACATATATGTCAAATTATTTGATCTTAAAACTCTAAAGAACATTTTAGCACTTACCAGCATTTAAGGGGTCACTCTGCTTAGGAACATAAATTGCTAGTGATATTACAGGAGAGCCAACATGCAATTCTATACCCCAGCGACGTTGGACAGTTTCATCATAGCGAGCTGGGAAAAGAGACCCTGCATCTCGATACTGTGCATATCCTAATACAGCTCGATTTGCACCAGCAAATGTGTGCTTGGTAGTCAATTCTCCTACAAAATAAAACAATGAGTAGTAAAAATATATTAACACAAATTAATAGCAATCATAGAATGGCTTGCATACCAAAAATATAATTATAAAATTTTATCTATTTATATTGTAACAAATTCACCAATTTTTCTTATGTTATTTAATTTTAGTTATTCTGAACTTTTTTTGTAATAATTACTACACATGGTATGTATTAGCAATAAGTTCAATATAAGTTCAATTTAAATAATTTAAAATTAAATTAACTTTAAGTAGAATTTGAATTTCAAAACAAACGTTCTGAAATTTTCTTAGATATCATAACAATTGACTTGATCAGATGGATAATCAGATTAATTTAATTTCAAAAGACATCATAAATTACAATGTATGTCATGAAATATTCTTTAGAAATGCTAGATAAAACTGTAAAGAAAATTTGTTTGCATTTCAGTTTTAAGATTATCTCAGAACATCACAGGTAACACCTACCTTGTTCTAAGAGCCTAATTCCAAGTAAATTCAAAGGAACATAAACTTTGGAATGCAGGTCAAATTTATCACGATCCAGCATATAATTATTATATTTTGGAAACACCAACGTTGGACTGGTTTTTACTAGGTTTCCTCCATTGAGGCCTGAGTTCAAAGCACTAGTGGTTGACATCTGAAGAGGAACCTGCAATGACAACTTTTCTCAGGTTTTTATGATTTTTTCATAAACATATCTTTTTCATTTCTGTATAAACACAGTTTTAATATCAATAGCAAAAAACAGAAAAGCATGAGTAACTATTTGGGAGATTTAGCAAATTCAAGGAAATCCAAAGTAATATTTTGGTAATGTCATCAATCCAGTAAATGCAAATGCACAGCATTTATTGCCACAGAAGAAATAATACTGTGACCTCTTACTTTATTCTTGTATTTATATCATCAGATCTCCACTGATTGATATAAGAAAGCAACACGTTAAAGGTCACTTATAGTTATAAAAATATTTTTTCCACCGGTTTAATAAATATATTTTCTCAAAGTTAAACTTTGGTTTTTAAATATATTTAATGTTAGTTTCACCCATATATACCATATATACTTGTATCACAGTATCTTTAGAAAATTATTCAATCTGATTTAATACTTTGTTGAATTAAAATGAGAAAAATTACTTTTCATGGAAATATTACAAATGGATTTTTTAAATAAAATAATAATCTACATTTAAAATAATTTTAGCAACTAATCTAACCTGAATACCAGGTTGAAGGTATTGTGATGTGTCAGGAAGTATCACACGTTCACCAGGAACAGATGACATGCCGGCAGGTAATTCCCGATTTAGAGTTTCGTAACCAAACAAGCTCTCTGGAGTTACAATATCAAGACCCAAAGCTGGAATAAATACACAGTTAACTGGTGAGCAAAAAATAGAAAGAAAAAACTACCATGCTGTCACAAAATGAAATGTGCATATATATACCCATGTTATTTGCCACAACTTCGAAAGGACTAGTGTATGTGTCTTGCTGGCTCTGCACAAGCTTCCCCAAATACTGGTCTACTGCTTCCACCAAGTCTTCTGCACTCTTTCCTGTAAGCTCTTCAACACGATCCCAATGTTCACTGTACTGGGCATCAAGGACAGAACTTGCTGTACTAACGATGTTCTGCAAAGAAATTAATCATTAATAATATTCATATTATTTCCTTTCTTTTTTCTTAACTGATAAGCACAATCCCTAGAATACTATTTTGTGAAAACCAAATCACAGACTATGGTTATAAACATTTTATTGGAAAATAAGATAAACTATATCATCAAAGGAAAAACACATCAAATAACAATACAAATATGAAATTTAGTTGAAAGTAATACGTGAGCATGATGACATGGAGACATTTTAAAAATGCATACCTGAATAAAATCTTTATCCTGACTATGAGTGAGGTTGAGTCCATGTTCCTCTGCTTCATGGCTCATCAACTGTCTTAAAAGTTCTTGAGACACTAGTACATCAGCCCCGTGAAGTGTGCGAGTCTCATTAGTTGCTCGATGTAAATCTGTGGCAACTTTCACAGCTACAAACGTTGTTACACTTAAATCACCTCCTTCCATTTGACTAAGCTGCACAAATAAATTAATAAATAAATTATTAACATAATTAAATGAAGCAATTTACATGATATTTGTAAGTTTATCTTAACCAAGATTAGAAAATAATTATAACAGTTCATTTACATATTTTTCTATGAGAGGAACCTTCAGATCAGTGTTTAGTTTCACTTACTAAATTATCTTAAAAATGGTGTTGTTCTATTCTAAGTAGAGTATTATTTTAGTAACATCCAGAGCCATTTTTACAGTTTGCACTCTTGGGCATAGGTTAATTGGGGAGCCTCTTATTCTTCCTTCAGTGATCTCCCACCCCCTCAATTTAAAGACAAGTTTTGATTAAAAAAACTAAACTCATCACTCAGTAACATTCTCACATCAACCAGCAACATTCCACATTATAAATATTATCCAATTATGTACAACATCACTTCCTTGTGCCAATTTTTAGCACATAGTTTAATCACACATCATTTTTTATATGTTATTTTATTTTTTGAAAAATTTAGTATTAATTTTTTTAAGAACGTCAGGGCCCCTTGAACATTAGGCCTTTTAGGCCCGTGCATTAACACTTGTAACATCTATGAAGCTAAGCGATCTGCAACATGCTTACCACTTTTCGCAAATCCAGAAAGAGGTCAGAGGTACAATTGAATAAATCAGGTTCTTGCCATCCAGTATCTTCATCACATGCTCTGGAAGCTTTACCCTGAGAGCGTGCTGGGCAAGACGACAAAGCAACATGTCCGAATAATGTACGTTCCCACCATAAGTTATTAGAAAAACTTCTAGGACAGCCATCGTAAACCACTGTAAAAGAAATTAATATACAAATTAGGAATATATTTCTGCACATACATTTGGATCACCAAGAAAGAAAATTTCAACTTTCAATTTTCATTGAAAATGTTTTGAAATTTTATTTCTTGAAAAATTTTTCATTATCAGATCATCTCTCCCATTTTATCATAATTTCTTACCTTCACAGCCTCTCAGAGTTACTTCACCATAGGGATTTGGACAAGAATCACAGCGTCTCCCAATTACTCCATTTCGACATTTGCACTGACCAGTAGATAAGTCACACTGATTACCATATGAACCAGTGGCATAACAATCACAATCAAAGCATTGATCAGAATCAGGAGGCTGATAATGATTTTCCTGCACATATCAAGAAAAAATTGTCAACATTAACTTCAAAATATAAAAAATAACACACAAAAACAACACAAAAAGTCATAGGAGAAGAATCCGACAGAATTAATGGATTTAAAACTGAGATAATAAATTAATGTCATGATTAAAAAATATGGCATTGCCAAAACTTGCCTTGCAGTAACATTCTCCCGTAGTTTTATTACAATCAGCATTGTATCCTTTTGATGTGTCACAATGACAAGGCCCACAAACAGGATATCCCCACCAACTGGCAGGACATGGTTGGTCGACTTTCACTTCACAATATTCACCTTCACAAATTCAAAAACGAAAAAAAAATTCACTACCTTTTCTTTCTTTCTTTTTTTTCCTTTTCTTCTTTTTTTCTTTTTTCCCCCCAACAGAGATGAGTTACACATTCATTTTTTTAATACAAAACACACATTCTCATATTCGCATGCACACACTAGAACATGTAGAACAGCTAATGACAGTTAATCAGAAAGGAAGTAGAATAAATGAATGATTGGCCTATATATGTGAATTTGAAAAGCAAACAAACTTAAACAATCTTTGAAATGATGCAAAATAATGGTGAAGCACATAAGTTTTAATTGTCCCAAATCATCATAGGAAATCGTCAAGGAAGCAATGACAACTGAAGATCTCTAAAATAATTAAAACCGAGCTAGACAGTTTTGAAAGAAGCTGATCAATTAGTAACAAATGTAGAAGCAAAAAATACAAAAATGGATACAGAAATAAAATGTTCATATTTTTAAGAAAGTTCCAAACTAAGGGACAAAAAGAGAAGTGTAAATTGAAAACAAGTAAGGCAAAACTCAAAAGAAAAGTACACAAAAAGAATACTGACAAACATGATCTCTTACCTGAATATTCACTAGAATTACATTGACAAGAATATCCTCGGGAAGTCAAACTGTCCTTGATGCACCTTGCACTATTAGCACATGGGTTCATTTCACATACACCCACACAAGATGGACCGACATAACCTTCAGAGAGAAAAATGTAAATTATTTACAAAGACTATTATTTAACATTCAAAATTAGCTCAAAAGCATAAAAGACACAAGTTGCAAAATCACTTACCAGTATTGCACTGACATTGAAATTCTTCCCACTCAGCGACACATGTGCTATGAGGAGGACATTTATCTCTTTGAGCACAGTGATCTATTCCTAAGCAACCTTCCCCAACATTCTCCCGAACTGTGGGTCTCTGCAAGGTAGATTGGGGAGTTCCAACCCGCACATCCTGACAGAGAAAAAATTAATTGAAGTAATACAAGCAATGACAATATTCACAAGATTGTTTAATAAAAATTAATCGTACCTGAATACAGCCTTCAAAATAACCATAGTCCACATTCAAACTCCCTAAAGCTGTGTCAGGCCCACCAATTAGAATCTTCCCAACATAAAGTCCTTGTAGCTTTGATGTTGCTGGTGCAGTCATTTCACGCTGTCCATAATCAAGATTTATCCATAGCTCGCCACTCATCCATTTTACTTCAATATGATGCCAATGTCCATCATTCACAAGGCCACTGCTCAGAACAAATGTCTCTCCATTGTAACTGTATTGCACTTGACCACTGACAAGCTGAAAATGGAAATTTCTCTTTATTCATTTCATCCAGATCATATCAATGAAACTACACAAAATAAGTAATTTTAATACAGCAGTTTATTACAAAGTCTGAGCTAGTACTCACATTAAGAACAGCTGAACTATTTTGTCCAATTTGAATACTCATTAAAAAGGCATCCTTTTGTAATGTACGAACAGAGAGTGCATTTAACCAAGGTAACTGTATAGGGCGCAATAATGGATTGAAAGACAGTACACCATCTCCTTGAAATCGCCAAGGTGGTTTTATAGCTGAAAAAAGTAAGATAAATTCTATTCACTTCCTGCAACAAACTACTTAACAAACACATAATTGAACAGTAGATCTTCCATTATCTGAAGAGAAGGAAGGGTCAACAAACAGTGAAAATCCTAGATTCCACATCAAATAATTGGATTCCCAAGCAACTTATAACAAAGATTCCACTGTTTCAACTAAATCCCCACACACCCCACACACACAAAGTCACACTAACATCTTACAAAAAATACTTTTGTTGATAGAAATAAGAGAAATAAATGTCTTGAAATAAATGAAGTGCATTTGTAAACAATTTATAAACAATTTATTACACAGTGTCCTTAACAATTTGAAATCAGCAAGTTATACTTACCCCGACTGCAATCTTTGCCACTCCAACCTTCTGCACACTCACACAGGTATGTGCCCCAGCCATCTAAACAGTGCCCTGCATGATGACAAGGGGATGACTGACAGAAGGCCCTCTTTTCTGGGCAACCAGCTACAGTTCCATTGTCTGCTACAAAACTATTGCAAAAAAACATTGACATGGATTCCATTTTCCTAGATAATTTCAAAAAGTATTCCAAAAAAGTGAACTACACAAACCTGTTTAGATCAATGAATTTATTATCAATATGTAAATCACTAATACATCCCACAAAATCCTTGCTATGAACCTGGAAGCTAGTTGGTAAAGCAGGCAAACCACCAACTTGTAATGGGCCAGTTAAATCAAGGAATCGATGGCATGTCTCAGTGAAAATAGCACATCTCGGGTGAAGAACTTGGTGAGTGCTATTAGCACAGGCCCAACGCTGTCCTAACTGCGTACCATAACTCAAAGCTAGAGCCTTGTCACAGTCATCCAAACTGACAGTAGCACTCTGCAAAAATTAATCAAGCAAAATAAGTACATATATGTGCATTTATTTTTTAAAAATATGGAAGAGAGTAAAGAAAATATGTAAGTACAATTTTTCATGTTAGTGTTTAAAATTGTTTGATATAAGTATTTTCAAATTTTATAACACAAAACAACACCAATCAAGCTTACACTCAGATTGAAACACAGGGTGAATTGAGAGAGATCAGCCGAGATGCAGCCATCGAATCAGGAACATCATTACAACTTAATTTTTTATATTGAGGCTCCCAATTGGAAAACTGCATGCCAGTTGATCAAAGTCAATTTGTGTTTTAATCCAAGTGTAAAAATGGATTCATAACAACTGACCAATCATTTCACCTCAATAGAACTAATTCGACATGAATTCACACCAATCAATGTGTGGTTTTAAATGAGAGATAAAATATATACAAAGTAGTATATATAAAATATACAGAGTAGTATATACAAAGTTGTTTACGAAGACTATGCATAGAAAAAATCATGCCGTGTAGCACAATCTCATACTGATAGGCATCAAATTCTGCATCCATGATAGAGGGATATGTTTCGAAGTGGATAGCAGGATGCACCGCAACACAATGTGCAGTAAGAAGCATTTGCCACATTTTAATCGAGTCACACATGAACTGCTAGAAACATGAACAAGTGTAAATACTGCTTTGCAAACATCTGCCAATTTTTAAATAATTCCTCATTTTTAAATGATCATAGATATAAAAGTAAATCACAGATCATGGATTCAAAAATGTATTTTCATGTGAATACATTCTCTATTTATAAGCATTACAAATGCATGTATATTGATATTGATTTTGTTTTCCCTTATTTTTGTAATTATTTTTTCTAATTCTAATAAATTGTTTTCCTTTTTTTATTTTTAATATTATCAATGGATATTAAATATGCCAACCTTATTGAAATATTGAACTGAAACTGAATGCCACTGTCCATCGCTGACTCCTCCAGGAACAGTTACTGATGTAGTAGTAACATTTGTGCCCAATGAAAATGTAAAGTGCACAGCTCCTTTTACAATTTCCAGAGCAATAAAATCATGCTTTTCATTATAGCGACCATTGTACAATAAGAGTCCTGATTCTGCTTGAGTTGCAAACCTGAAATAAATTATATGCAAATTACACTATTTGTTTACAAATTAACAATATCCAAGTTATCACATGAACTGACTTCTTGGATTCTGAAGTAAATTATCATCTTGTAGTTGCTTACCATACACTACCAAAGCAAACATTAAAGTAATAGAATCATATGAGCAGAAGAAAGAGGACAAGAAAGGATGATGAGAAAAGAGAAGAGCCCACAAAATTTACAATGCTCTCCCCCCCACTCCCCCAACTTCCCCCTAACATTCTCATTATTACTTCTGAGAAAGATAATTGTGTTTACTAAAAAAACACAAATTTAAATCTGAAGGAGAGATTACATTGTACTTTGACAATTCAAATATGAATTGCAAAAATACAAAGAGTTATTAAATGAGAAGTTTTGAAAAATAAAAATAAAAATTGTAAACGGTAATTGTAAACAGATTTTTGAAGATAATCCATTATCAAAAAATGAATACATATTTCAAACAAAGTAAACAAGGCAAGAGGAAGGGGGCAGTGAATAAAAAAAGTGGTTTATGGTAGTTATAAGTTAGAAAATTCAATATGAGAAGTCTGAAATGGCAAGAAAAATGAATGAAGGTTTAATTTAAAAAGATGAAGAAGTTTTGGAGATATAAATTAGTTTTTAGGAGAACAGCAAAATGTTACATCCAACATGCCTAAATGATTCAATTTATTTGACCTTTAAGAAAGATAATTGAAGGAATTAAGTCTGTGGCATGAATCAAATTTATTATAGGGAATGATCATTTATAAATTGTCTCTTAATTTTACTTAGTTGAATAAATTGTTATTTACTAATCAGAAATTATATGAACTCCTCACTTCTCTGCAAAGATGATTGTGCTGTGGAGTGCACTGTTCGTTAGACCAGAATACACTATAACAATTTTGTTACAATATATATTGAGACATAAAATATGATTTGTTGAGTATTTCATCAAAGTTATGAAAATTTTCCCACAAGAATCTCAGTACCAAAGTGAATGCAGAAATATACCTGAGGCTAATATGAAGGCGATGCCGCTGTCTCAGAGCAGGGAAGGTAAGAAATGAAGTCCGCACAAAACTCCTCCCTCTCAGTTCACAAAGTCGAGTGTAGTGATCAGAGGCTTGAGCAGGTGCACAATTCTCACATACAAAGCCTCCTTTGACTAGTGGAGCGCATACAGAGCGTGAGCGGCAGATGTCCGGCTGGCATGTGTCAAGTTCTAAATCAATCTCACAATTCTTTCCTGAAACCAGAAATATCATATTGGATAGATAAATTCTAATTCACAAAATTACCTTGTTTTAATTCAAAAATTATAATAATAAATAAATAAATTAATAAATTAGTTTTCACTTCTAAAATTGTTAATCGTTACCATACCATGCAAAAAATCTTAAACAAAACAAAAAAGAGTAAATTTGTATTACTAAGCTACATAGAAATGTTGAACACAAACCTGTAAAACCTGGCTTGCAAACACATGTATAACCACCTTCCTTTCGCTTACAATCTCCACGATTACTGCAAGGATTTGAATAACAAAGATCAACTTCGGTATCACAGAGGTAATGTTCTCGACTTCCTACAACAAAGAGGACACGGCACAATTGATTCAAAAATAGAACATTGAAAAAATATGAATGTTATCACAGTCAACAGGCCAACTTACCAGTGAAACCTTTAGGACAACGGCAAGCAAATGTAGTAACAGGGTAAATAGGACGAAATAGCACTGTATCACTGCTGATAAAGCCAGAAGCATTTCCAAACTTTAAAACAGTTAGGCACTGTTCATAATTCAAGCATGGTTCACGAACACACAAGTTATCATCAAAAGGTAATACTTGAACAGTTGATAAGCGAGCCAAAATAGCACGATTTAAGTAAACACGTTCTTGAAGAAATTGAGGAGCATAAAATTCATTGCCATTTAAGTCAGGACGGCGAGCTGAGAAACTCACATTCAGTATTTTTGCATTCACATCAGTATCATCCTGAAAATAAATTTAAAATTAGGCATAAAAATTCAAATAACCATACTAAATCTCTTTAATAATTTGCAAAAAAGCTATGAAGAAAATAAGTCAAAATTTCCTGTTAACAAGAACATTTTCTTCAGTAAAACAACTGTAATTTTTCAGTTAGTGCAAAATATTCAAAACATATCTGATTATTGTGTTAATATTTACATTTATTTTAATTTTATATTCTCATGGATTTTCTTTGTTTCAACTTGTTTTCTTTTGGTCTAGTTTGGTCTATATATTCAAACACGTAACTAATATATGTTGGTATTTATTAGTTTTTAAAATCTACCTACCTGAATGCTGAATACAAAAATATTCTCTTTGGGACATGGAATAATAGCAGCTAGGCCTTCTACAAAAAATGTTAATAGTGGTGACAAAAAAGCTTCTTCAGTCATGTCATTCAATCTCACAGTAATAGAATTAAAGAGCATTTCTTCAGTCACAAGACGCACAGTTAATTGCATTAAGGCCTTCACTTCATTTACGCCATCTGCAAAAGCACATTAAGATGCGGTTACCTCAGAGTGTCTATTTTCCAAAGTAAGTTTAAAAATAGAATGGCATTTCATAGGAAAAAAACTATAAATCTTTTACATTCTCAACAAAATGTTTCAACTTTAAAAAGTAATTATTTAATAACATTCTTAACAAAAGAAATTATTTTGACAACATTTTATCTTCATTGTCATGTCATAAGATAAAGAAAATAAAGTTAATAATGTTTCATATGGTACTTTTACTCCCCCTAGTTTAGCTATACACAATATCTCAGAATAAATATCACAAACTTCTAGAACATGTAGGAAGGTGATTACATTTTGCCAAAGAACATGTCAAGGGAAACCCTACATAACAAATTTACACACGAGACATTTGTGCCTAATTGGTAGGTTGGTGAACTGGTTTTTGGTGGTACACGTTCCAACAGATTTCAGCTACCTATGAAACTTGCACAAGAGGAGTTGCCTGCCAACAGGCAAAAATGTCATAGTGTAACTTCGTTACATGAGATTTCCCACCACACATTCATTGATAAAAAATGGTCTTTGCCACCCTCACCTCCTGCATGACCGAACAGTGTGTAACATTTGATTTGATTTTATTTACTTTCATCAGAAACAGTAAAAATTATATGTGAGGGAGAGGTATAATCTGCACATGTTTTCTTGATCTCCAGAATCACTACCTAACCCTTTTACTTCACATAGTTGAACAATGAATAAAAGTACCAACAAAGCATGGGAAGCAACATTTTAAAACTAGACATTATCACTCTCAAGTAAGAGAAACTTATTTGCATTGGTAAATGAAATACAAATTTGACGGAACTGCAGTATTGCTAACAAAATAGCAAATCACACCCTCATCTCTACTCCTACCACAACTTTGCAAAAGGAGACCTCAAAATGTGTGCACAGTAACACTACATTCACACAAATTACTTATTAAATTTATTCTGAGGCATTCTGTATATACATTATTGTTTTTTAGGATTTCCCAAATTTCATGTTTCCTTTTTGTTTGATTTTTAAACATTCTGCAAGATGCAACTCATACAAGAAGTGCACTCCCCTTAAATAACCTAATATGTGTAATGTTTCTAAAAGACAACACATTTTAAACAGTTCTCTCACTTACCTGTTACAGATACCTCCATTGATGCAACCTTTGGTACATTTGTATTAAGCTGAGGAGACAAAGTGAGGTCACCAGAACTCTGATTTAAATGTACAAGATTTGCATTATTGCCAGAAATAATTCGATAACGCAATTTGTCAGTCACATCAGCATCAAATGCAGGAATTCTACCCACTGGACTTGTTGGAAAGCAGTCTCGAAAATTATTGAAAATGACCTGCAACATCAATTTAAAAGATGTTTATAATTCAAAACTCATAACTTATATTACAATTTCATGTCACAATAAGTCTGTTCCTCAGATCATTCTAAATGAACTGCAAAAGACCTTTATTATATATATAATTTTTAATGATACAGGAGGATTAATACAGAAGCTCAAAATAATTAGCTCAAACGCAAAGAGTTGACAATAAATATGGGAAACCTGGTTGCTCTACTGGCAACTTACACATGTAAGTGAGCTACTTGATGAAAAAGGTTAGTACAAATGACACAACGCAAAATATGAAGATCTAAAAATGAATTATTTGTTATTTACATTCCTGTAGAATCACATGAAAAATAATCTTTTGAAATTTAACTTGTTTTAAGACAGTCCTATTTCACATCATTAGATACATAGTTAAATATATTTGTTCACTTGAAGAAAAAATTATCTTAGTGAGATCACATAGCCATCCTATGCTCTAATTTAAATTGGTCTTCTCTACATACCTGAAAATCTTTCAGTACAGGGGCATTATCATTGACATCTGTTACTAGAATCTCAACATGAGCATCAGCTCTCAGAGGAGGAGATGCCGCTCGAACTACTAAATCAAAGCGTTTATGGGATGATTCATAATCCAAGTCTACCATAGTTAAAATTTCAGCCTTGTTACTTCCTGGTCTTGTAACTAGAGAGAAACTATTGGAATCATCTCCACCTAAAAAATATTTAATTATCAATCAATATGCCATTTATTTTTAAATAATATTTTCTTATCGTACAGCAAAAGCATGAACTTACCTATTATTGAATACTGAACTGCAGCATTTGGACCTTCATCAGGGTCCCTTGCAATTATTTCTCCTACAGTGGAACCAATTGGTGAATTTTCTGCAATGTACAGGACAATTTTATCTGATTCAAAAGCTGGAGGAGAATCGTTCACATCTTCTATACGAATTGTAACATTCACAGCGCCAGACATCGATGGGGTACCACGATCAATTGCATATACTATCAGATCATATTGTGCTATACTTTCACGATCCAGAGATTTTGCTGTTCTAATTACACCAGATGTTGGATCAATAACAAATGAGCCATCTGCAGTGCCTTCAGCATTCAAAGCATATCTTATTCGACCATTTAAGCCCATATCAGCATCGGTGGCAGATACCTGAACAACACTTGTCCCAACCAAAGCATCTTCTGGCACAGAACCAATGTAGGAAGTCTTTTTAAATACAGGAGCATTGTCATTAACATCTGTTACTGTGATTTCTACATCAGTGGTATCAGATAAGGATGGTACACCACCATCTCTAGCAGTAACAGTAAGAAGATAACCGCTCACTGATTCTCGATCTAATAATTTTGTGGTAAGAATGGCACCTGTTTGTGGATTAATAGAAAATTCTGGAGTCGATGTTTTGTCATCCACAGTTCCCAAACTATATGTTATTAAAGCATTCTGTCCAACATCACCATCAGTGGCACTAATGATCAAAACAGTGGTTCCAATAGGAGCATCTTCAAAAACACTAGCAGAGTACGGGGCATTCTCAAACACAGGAGCAAAGTTATTTGCATCAGATACATTGACATATACAGTTGCAGTATCTTGTCGCCCTCCAGAATCACTAGCTGTGACGGTCAATATAAAACGTTTTTCTTGCTTAAAATCTAACGGTTGAGCAATTGTAATAAGTCCACGTCCATTTTGTGATGTAATGGCGAATCTGCCACGAGTGTTCCCGCCTGATAGTTCATAATGCAGCCTGCAACACAAAGACGTAATCATAAAATTACAATTTCAAAAACAATGAAATTGAACCAACATTTTATTCTTTACCAATCTAATAAGTTTCTCTGAGCATCTCAACACTTGAACCAAAGTTGAGAACGAAAAAGTGACAAATACTTCAAATATTACCAGAAATAAATATTTTGAAATTTTGCTGTCCTTTGGCAAACATCCCCTCAGAGCTCTGCCTACCTCCGCACATAAAATACACCCTTAAAAATGCATCTATTTTTTTTTCCCTTGCCTTGGATTTTCGTCCCGATCGGTAGCAGTTACACTAGCTACTGGTGTGCCTGGTGGGTCGTCTTCAGACACAACTGCCTCGTACAGCTTTGGTTCAAAGACAGGATCATTATCATTAACATCCTGCACTGTTATCACAACGCTAGCAGTAGCACTTTTTGAAGGTGTTCCACCATCTTGAGCTATGACCTATCAAGAACCGAGCAAACAGTAAGGATTAGTATAATCTCATTGGTAGTACTTTTATAAATCCCTTATCTACGTTCCTGAAATGAGATTATTACCTGAAACTGATATCTGGATTGCTCTTCTCTATCCAACTCCCGAGTGGTATATATCCAACCGCTTAGTTCTTCGACGCCCAAAGGGAAATCACTGGTAGATCCTCCACCTTCATCTCGAGGACCAATACTGTACTTAATGGCTGCGTTTTCTCCTTCATCAGCATCATATGCTTGCACCTGACAAAGAAGTAAATATAATTCAACAACAAAGTTCTGGATGCATAAATGAAAATTCGCAACTAAAAATCATGACTGAAGGTGTGTGAGGCTAGAGTGTTTGATGGCCCCATATTTAAGAAGGATCCTTTGGTCATGTAAGTTGCAAAACTGGAAAAATTTATTTTATTTTTTTAATACCAGTTTTTCTAGCTACTAAATATATAAAAGAATGGTCAGACAACACATAGAAACTGATATTTCATTTAGTATAAAAGATCACTTCAGTTTTATACCAATAAAAAGCACTACACATTTGCTCCCAAATGCTTAATTTATCATAACCCAAAGAAAATGGAATATGAAGAGTATTGATATATGACTGTCCTTCAATGAAGACAAAAGTTTGGGTATGAGACAGGGTAACTTACCCGCACAATGCTATAACCAACAGGAACACTTTCAGAGACAGATTCCTGAAACATTGTAGTGTAAAAGCGAGGTTCGTTGTCATTGACATCCTTCACATTTACCAGCAATTGGGTAATATTTGACCGACTTGGGCTACCACCATCTGCATAAAAAAAACTCAATTAATATTTTAATTCACATACTAGTTTAGAAACTTGATTTATAAAATATGTACCTAAAATCTGGCATACTATTATCATATTCTCTCCTTAATAAATATAAGAAAGTTTCTGGCATGAACATGTAATATTCTACCAATGTTGATGATTGTCAGTAAATGAAAACAATTTTTAGACAAATATTTAACTACTTTCATCAAAAAAAAATTTTAACTCACTGTAAACTAATATTTTAAAACACCCTTATTCAAAAGTTCAACAAAACTACTAACATAAAGTTTTCTACGATTTTAATTTTTTCCTTTCTTATTCACGCATTTAAATCTCCAGATGGACTAACAGAAAAAAAGAATATTAATTTAATTCATCCTTTAAATTACACCTCTATACATTGTAAAAGTTATTCCTTAATTACAGCTATCATACTTTTTAGCGACAGTAAAATAAAATAATTTATCAATTGTCACTCTGATAGTTTATAACAGGGTGTTATTATCTAGCATCTGAATACTTCAACTTTTAATTCATGAATTATGAACTAGACTTTCTTTGGTCTCCAATTCATTATTTAATACACATACCAAAAATTAATAACTAGATAAAATGTAAATAAATTAACTAATACAATTGAAAAAGTCAATAAATATTGCATAAGCATCAAATTTGTTGAAACTACAGAGTAATAATTTTCTACTGATGCTGCATCTGATGATGTTCTTAAGGCTCTTAATGATATTTTACTGTCAGGTAATTTTAATTGACATAACATGGAAAACTTCAGAATAAGTTGAAACTAAAGATCACAATTGTGACTCACCTTGAGCTCTTATTACCAGCCTGTAATTTCTCAATGTTTCATAATCCAGAGCCTTCATCAGTGATACTTCCCCACTGAGACTGTCTATGCTGAATTGACTTTGGGTGTTACCTCCAATTATAGCATATCGAACTGCAGCATTATTGCCTTGATCAGCATCAACAGCTCTACAAAACATTCAATGAAATTACAATGTGGCAAATCCACAAAATCAATCAAAAGCAGAGTATCACTAACTTACTTTATTGTTGCAATTACAGGATTTTGACTCCAATTAACATTTTCAGGAACCTGAACTGAGTACGTTCTTTCAGTAAACTGTGGTTGATTATCATTGTCATCTAAAATGCGAACTATTACTGTTGCAGAAGAAGATTTTCGTTCACTAATCGGAAGGCCCTGATCCGTTGCCATTACTATCAATGTATACATTTCAGAGGTTTCTCGATCAAGCATAGACCGGGTGGTAATAATACCAGATTTAGGGTCAATTCTAAAAGCCTCCTGTTTGCTTCCAGCAATTGTACCAGTGCCACCAGTCTCTTGACTTAAAATTGAATATTCAACATCTGCATTATGACCTATATCTTGATCGGTAGCTCGTAAAGTAACTACTGTTGAACCTACTGACACGGATTCACGAATAGAGGCTTCATATTCATTTGATTCAAATACAGGAGCATGGTCATTTGCATCAAGAACATTAATTTGCAGAGTTGTTGTACCACTTCGAGGTGGAAAAGAATCATCAGAAGCTGTAACACGAAAGTAGTGCACATCCACCAGTTCTCTGTCCAAGCTTGTAAGCGTTGTCACAACTCCTGACATTGGATCAACAGCGAACATGCCCTGCAATAAAGTAAAATATACTTCACACTTACATAAATAATGAGGTACAAAAATACACATTTACACAACAAACAATTGAAATTTTTTGTCAATGAGAAGAGTTTTGGGTGCAAAAATCTACAAGAAAATGTAGTTGAATTGTATTATAAATTCTAGAAAAGGCATATTTATACATAACATTTTATATACGGTATTAAAAGATGTTATTATATAGTGCTAAGAGGCCTCTTTCAAAATTTTCAGGAAGGCCATGGGTGCACAGACACCTCATGCGCAGGCCTATGATAAAAATTTGATTAATATATTTATTGCTTACAATAAACATAAATATATTGGTTTTTCAGAAACTTAATGAATAATAAAATACCACTGAAGTGCAGAATATGGGAGATTACATTCACACACACGTATCTATCTCATAAAATTACAAAAATGACAATTTACTTTACATCAGAACTAAAATTGAAGTTTCTTTTCCTCTCCATCCAATGTATTAACCATCATGTCTGGGTTAAAAATAATTTATTTTGAACTACTAACAATCATCCTTTAAATTCTCTTCAGATTTACACAACTGAATATTTAATACATTTATTTATTTATTATAAATATATTATTTAAGTTATATTTAGTTTATACTAAGAATACAAGTTTCTTGTTTTAGAAGTGCATCTATCCTGCTGTGATATCATTAGTTATAAATATATACATACAAAGGACTATTTTATGAGCCATTTCAGACATTTACAATTGAAAAATTATGATAATAAAAAAAAAGTGAAATGTGTAATTTCTAAACTGACAAACTCTCAAAAATTGGCAATACTTAAACTATTACAATCTTCTAGTCAATTATTTCAGGAGTTAAAGATATAAAGCCCCAGGGGGAGGGGGAAAGAATGTTTATAAGCAAAATAAACCACATTTTCCTATTCTCAATCATTATTGTCAAAAAGCCAAGAATTCAAAACTCCAAACAAATACAAGACATTTTTAATAACTTTTTTATCTAATTACTTTCCAAATTCAAATTTAAATTAAACTTAACACACTATCTTCCTTAATCAACAGATAATTAATAAATAAATGATGTTATTATACTACAATGTTAGAACTCAGATCAATGTTTAGCTTACCTGAGAACGTGAATCAAGTAGTGAAACCATAGAGTAGGTGACAGGTGAATTCTCTGGATCTCTTGCTTTTACTGTAGCAACTCTAATACCAGAAGGTCTTTCTTCCACAACAGATTCAATGTACAGTGCCTTCTCAAAATATGGTGACTGATTTCTCAGTTCTCTCCGTACACGATGAGCAATATCTGTTTCATTTAGATCTTGATGATGATACACTACTTTCAACCGATGTTGGACACCAGTAACTAAACCACCTGTCTCATGAAGATCCTGATCATTCTTACAATGGATATCCAAAAGAATGGTAACTTTCCACAAAGGTTCAGTTATACACTGATCATATGCTGACACTAAGTCACCGGCTTGGGTTTCAATTCTGAATCTTGGATCAGATACATCTAGATATTTCACAAAACATTCTTCCAAGATTGTTATTGGTAAAAAGGTAGAAATGCTATTTATGAATTGACTTTTCTTCAAACACAATTCTCGCCAACCTTCTGTTCCTGGAATTGCATATGAAGCAAATGTTTCACTAATCCACCTTTTAGCTTCAGACACTCGAACCTGCATCTTATTCATAATTGGCAGACCCTCCTCTTCCACACTTTCTTGATCACATCTTTCTCCTCTCACAAATATCCTTAGGGGCATTGAGTAGTAATCAACCCCTTTACTCGTATTTGAAAATGAATCGATAAACACACTAAATAAATTTCTGTAATAAATACCATCACAGTCCAATTGTCTTTTTAGAATTAAACGTCCATCATTTGGATCAACATGAAGAATTCGGTGTACAAAATTTGCACTGCGATGATTATTAATTTTGTAATGTCGTTGTACGCCTAACATTGGAAGAGTGCCATTGAACACAACATGTTTAGGAGGTTCACTTTCAGTCACAACAATTAAATAACACTGATCATGATGAATGATATTTAGTATCACAATTAAAATGATAATTAAAGATGAATGATGGCAATAAATGTCAACCAAGGCTTTCTTCATGGTGAAATAGGTTATCAAAATTGTTCCCAAAATTTATCGATGTACTTGTTCAGGTGACTGTAAAAAATAAGAAAAATAATTTAGTACAAAATTTGTTCTGTCAAACAGGTAGTTTTCACAACAGTAATTTTGTTTTTATTTACATTGGAAATATAGATCAAAAGAAATATTTTGATTTATTTTTTAATTTATTTCTTTATTTATTTTTTGACATTATGCTTCCAGTTTTACGGAGGCGGTCCTAGAAAAGGACGTAAACACTTTGCCTGACCTGCCCGCGTTGCCACGGATGCCATCCCAGGGCACAGGTCGCTGGCCGTAGATACCTAACCGCGGCATTCACTCCTGGAATTCCAACGTTTCTGGACGAACGCACATCCAAATATCCACTCATCGTTTTTTCTGAAACACAAAAACAATAAATAATAACAAACACTGCTATGAAATGATACATCTAATTCAAACTGCAAATAAAACCAGTTTCATGAGTTAAAAGTCTGGTATTTTGAATCATAATCTCTTTCACAACAGTAATTTCACACAGAAACTTCAAAATCGGCACAACGTATTCACAAGAACGAACGCATTCGATTATGTTTCACCTCGTTGCGGCCAGGAATTGTTTGGGGGGCGAATGAGCTGGATGAACGATACGCAAGAAGCTGCTCGAGGCCGTTGTCGCACGCGCCCCGCCGCGCGACAGCTCGAAAGCGATGGCCCCGCTCGCTCACACGGCGCTCCGCTCCGCTCCGCTCAGTCTGCGCCTCACGCGCGCCGGCTCGCTCGAAAAATCAATGGACTGCTTGCTTCTCGCCAGCTTCACACGCGTGCTTTGTACTTGACGTGGAAACGGAAATTTAATTCTTGCGTGTACTCACAACGAAAATCGTTTCCAAATACACGACATTACGTGACGAATATAATGAAGTTCATTGTTATGACTTCTATTGAAACTTATGACTCATTTGAACACCTCTGAATGTATTACACATTCCCAGAAAGTCAAGATTTGCTAGTTTTCTGCTTCCGCCATCATTAATCTAGCACATAGCGTATAGCAGCAAAAGCAATACAAAGCAACGTAGTCCGTGTAGAGATGAGAGTTCCTCCCGCATTCCATACAGCATTCCTTACTCCAAGATTTTTTTTTTCTCCGTAATTTTGAAGACTATTGAGAAATGAACGTATCATTAAGTAGTCTGTCGTTACATTCGTATTAAAGTACGAAAATATTGACATTTTGCGTGCTTCTTTGTAAATATCTTACGAATTCAAGGAAAGAATGAAAAATAAACGAGATTTTGCTGCTCCTACCTGTTTGGCGTATCTTTCAAGAACAACTTACAAAGTTACAATAATGAGTTGTATATGTACACCTACGACATTTTTTCAGAAAGACTTAGAAAATCGTACATTCAATTCTCCCTGATTAGTTCCGTTAGGATGAAGTGCTGTGAGACTGGAAGCTAAATGATGTCGGGATTCAAGTTTTTGAAAGAATCTCCCGCAGTTCTCTCCCACGCAGTAATTGCTCTAATTCCGCAAAAAACTGACTTAGGAATTTTTGAAGGTTGTTAAACGGTCGTTCACTCAAAAGCTTCAAAAATAAATCTTTCTCCGAGTAAAGCAGATAATTAGTTAATGAAAGTATACCTATTTCAGGATTTCTGTTGAATGAGCTCGATGAAGAAGCGTGAAATCGCAAACCCGAATTGGATAGAAGCCAAATGAGTTAATAAATGATACGCTTTCTTAACTGAAAGTCGTTTTTTTCTCTGAGATGTCACGGAAATATCACGTTGATACATCAATAATGAAGTCAGAAAATTATGACTTAAAAAACTTATATTATTGTATCGCTCAATTATAATGAATTACACGCATTCGTGTTGTTACATTCTACAATTTGTTAAATCGGGAGCAACCGAAAGCGTGATAAAACAACACGTTTAATTTAATTATTGAAAAATGAACAGAATGCCTTTGTTATAAAGAGGAATTTAAAAAAAAAATTTACTTTAGACATTCATAGAAGAATAAGAATTTAAAAGACTAAATTTAATTACTTGTAATTCCGAGCCTGTGAATGTACTCGTATAAGTTATCCACGTAAGTATTTTTGAAATTACGAATTTTGAAAGGCAAAAGTTTCACACAAATTTGCTCAATTTAATATTAATGGATATTTATATGATTTTAGTAGATGTTTGTGCAAATAGCTTGAAAATGTGGAGGTTTACGAGAACAATTGATTTAGCCTTGTAATGAACGATGGGTAAACATTGGCTGGAAAAAATACTGACCATCCCGGCCATCTGTAAATTAGGAGTTTAAAACAAATTGACTTCAAGTGAATTGGAAACAGAAATTTGTTTTAGATCAATAATGCGTTTACTCGAACTTAACTTCAAAGACATACTTTATAAAGGGCCAGCGACTTCATATTTGCCACGAAAACTTTGACGATAAGGGTAAATAGTTGAACTTTCTTTTACATCCTTCGTAGGTTTTTGCTTTGCATCCTGTTATCACAAAACGCTCCGACGAGGTGCTATCGCAAGGCGTTCCCCCTTGGGTTGTCGCGTACGCCTCCCTTCCGTTGCGCTTCCCCGAACAGCATGCACTTGCAGGCAGCCCTCCAATCGATAACGCGTCGGGGGCGGCCGCAGGGGTTCGGAGCTCAGACCACGCCAAGGGAGCGGGGCAGTCACACGCACCACGTCACAAAAATTACATCACTTCCCGGCTTCGTTGGAGGTTGCGCCGCCCGGCGTCATCTTCAAGTCTCCCTTAACGAAAAAATGAAACAAAAGGACAAATACAACCATTGGCGTCCCTGCAAGTGTGGGTGGGTGGGTGGGTGTTGGGCAAGAGGGCAATGCCTCTCCTCCCCCCCCCCCCAGAAAATTTCGAAATGGGACCTGTAGCATTAAGTAATTAAATGAATATTTCATTTCCGTAAATTCGATCTAAATTCTTCTTTTCTCCATTTTTAAGCCGACAATTTGGTGATGTGACACATCACATTTGGGGAAGTTGCTGTCAGAATCATCTGGCAAACTGTAAAGGGTCAAAATAAAATAAATTGTACTTATTAATTGTATTGTATATTTATTGAAGTCATAATTCTATTCTGCTTGTATAATGTTTATTATATTTCCTTGTAAAATATGCGAGAAGTAAATAAATAATTACATGTCTAGAAATGTAATTGGCTCCCTCTCTTGTTTTAGGCTTCGCACGCCTATGAATACAGCATAATGTAAGAACTATATTACGTAACTCGTCAATGGAAAAGGGATTTTAATGTAGGTTAAAGTTTTGCAATAGTTATTGCAGGTTTGATCTTCCATTTATTTAAAAAAAGCTTTTTAATTTCTCCTTCCTTTCTTTTTGTGAATAGATACTTACATAAAAGATTGTCGAGATCAATCTAACCATTGATGAAAGATAAATCGAGAATTGAAACACAGTGAACTTTTTATTATAAATATATTTTGCATTCCGTAATTCGCAGTAACAGTCGAATGCACGCTAAAAAATAAACTGGAGTAAAACGCAACTTTACAACGGCGCTGCAAGTTTACAAATGAGAAAAGAGAGGAAATGCTTTGTGTGGAATAATGCGACATTTTAACAGTGCAGGACGCCGTCGTTGCGTGAATCCGGAGGTGTCGGAAAACATCAGACAATCAGACATGCATGGGAAAGCGCATTTCTTTGCCGAAGGGCAAATGAAGCGGTAGTAGACTGTAAAGTATTTTCATTTACATTTGAAAACATTGTAAACTCAATTTGAATATTTTGTCATGAAATAGAACATCATCACTTGTTATTGAAAAAATTTTTGCTCTTGTTTCTTCACATATCGATCCTTTTCTTTTTTGGACAAAAAAAGAAAGGGCTATTTTCAATTTATTACCAATGTTGACCAATGAAGATTTGGTTGATTGCAAAAATTAAGAATTTAATGAGATTGATTAGTACGAGATCATGGAGCATATTCTTGAACCAGAATGAAGGGTGCGACGGAAAGCAAACCACTCATTGTAAAAGTTCTCAAATGAAATAAGCAATTCACAATTTTCTAAAAATTAAAAAATATCTATAGCAAACTGAATATGCGCTTTATATAAGAAGTATAATTAGAGAAAAAGAATGTTTCTCTCTTATCTTTTACAATAAACACTGATACTGAAAATTCAATGATTTTTTTTGTAAACAAAGCACAGAAAAGGAACGAGTTTTATCATTTTTATCTTTAAAGTTGGTTTCCAGCCTAAGTAAAACCAATTATAGCACATTTTTTATAGAAATAGAGATCATTCCTTAAGAAATTAGTTTTTTAAAACTATTGTTTCCTTGCTAGTAATTAATTTAATATTACATTTATAGAATTTAATAACTCAACACTTGTATTTACTTAGGTCTTTCAAAAGAAATATAAATTATGTTTCGTTTATGTTCTGCCGAGCTAGTTATATCGTTCATAAGTATTGAAACTGCTTGTGTCTCAGATGACAATGAGAACTTCCCGAGAAAACTCCGACTCAAAAGTCAAGACTATATTTTTGAGTTTCTATAAATTATACAATTAATATTGAAAAAAAAAATTAACGATTGCGTATTTGTTAAGATTTTAAAAGCGCTTATAAGCAGTAATAAAATGCATCTGTGTAAAAATACTAGCAAATATGTTAATATTGCTCAATTAAGCCTGGAGCGTTTATTTATAGGTACAATCTACAAAGGCGCAGATCCACGGGGAGAGAAATGAGGGAATTCCCCCTTAAAATGTTTTTGTAACTATTTATTATAATTTGTCAAGACATTTTCAAGTAAAAAATTAAAATAAATAAAATGGTATCGCAGCATGAGCTGAGTGTAGTCTGCGACATTTTACAAAATCTGTAATAACACATTCGATCCAAACATTTTCAATTTCCCTTCCCAAAACTTGTCTCTGGATCCGCCCCTGATCTACATAACATGACTCCATTTTTCCGGTTTTTTCGGGTGCACCAGAAACCAAGAAGGCAAGTGCACCCCTTTGCAAATTCGCGGCAGTACCCATTCATCCCGTCCCGGTTCCGCGTGCACATGCCGCTTCCGCGCAGGTCCTTTCCATCGCGGCCCCGCGTCCTTTGTGTCGCTTTGTGCGCGTCGACCCAAAGCCTGCTGGCGCACGAGAACCGCTCTGTTTGAACAGGCGCGAGGGCCGTGCGAGAGAGCAACAGCGGCTGCGGCAGGTCGCTTGCCTCAGCGGACGAAGCCGGTTGGCGGAGGAAGAGACGGCAGAGGAGGTGGAGGCGGCGGCGGCGGCGGCGGCGCCATCTGCCGTTCGCCGACCACCGCCGTCAGCGGCCGCAGGGGGGCGGGAGGCAGGCGGCCGGCCGGCGCTGCCGGAGGTGACGCGTTCTGGCACGCAACCTGCGAGGAGGGCGGAGGCGGAGGCGGAGGCGGTGAGGAGGAGGTGCACACGCAGTTGCCCAACTCGCGGTCCCTCCGGAGGAAACGAATACTACCGCGGATCCACAGGTTGCTCCACTTCGGGCTATACGAAATTTTCCGGCGGCTGATTGGTCGGCATTTCGCGATAGGAAACTTAGTTCCGCTACGCGTTATTGAAGTTAATATAACTTACGACATCGATAACGTGAATTGTTTCCACCACTGACGTATGAATGAGTAAGACACTTCTG